GTCTCCCAGTCAAAAATTATTGCCCACCCCTACCATATAGCAATGGGGTCTTGATCTGCAGCAGGATTTGCTGGTAATGGGGGATTTCAATTATCCATACATATGTTGGGAAACAAACACAGCAGGGCACAGATCATCCAATAGGTTCTTCGACTGCACTGGAGACAATTTTTTATTTCGGAAGGCTAAGAAAACTATGGGGGGAAGTTTTTCGTTTGATTTTAACAAATAAGGAGGAACTGACTGAAAATTTGAAAATGGAAGGCAGCTTGTGTGAAAGTGACCATGAAATCATAGAGTTCATAATTCTAAGGAATGGTAGAAGGGAGAAAAGTAAAATAGAGACAATGGATTTCAGGAAGGCAGATTTTAGTAAACTCAGAGAGTTGGTAGGTAAGGTCCCATTGGAAGCAAGAGTAGGAGGAAAAACAACTGAAGAGAGTTGGCAGTTTTTAAAAGGAACATTATTAAGGGCCCAAAAGCAAACTATTCCACTGCAGAGGAAAGATAGAAAATATGGCTGGAGACTACATTGGATCAACCAGGAGATCTTACATGATCTAAAAATCCAAAAGGAGTCATATAAAAAGGAGAAAATAGTTCAAATTACAAAGGATGACTATAAGCAAACAACACAGGTATGCAGGGGCAAGGTTAGAAAGGCAAAGGCACAAAAAGAGTTAAATCTAACTAGAGATATAAAGGGTAACAAGAAGATTTTCTACAAATATATCAGGAGCAAAAGAAAGACCAAAGACAGGGTAGGCCCATTGCTCAGTGAAGAGGGAGAAACAATAACTGGAAACCTAGAAATGGCAGAGGTCCTTAATGACTTCTTTGTTTCAGTTTTCACCAAAAAGTTTGATGGTGACTGAATTCTAGTGGAAATGGAGTAGGTTGAAAAGTTAAAATTAAAAAAGAACAGAAAAGTTAGATGTCTGCAAGTCACCAGGGCCTGATGAAATGCATCCTAGAATACTCAAGAAGCTGAGCCTTTAGCTATCATCTTTGAAAAATCATGAAAGACAAGAGAGATCCCAGAAGACTGGAAAAGGGCAAATATAATACCCATCTATAAAAAGGGAAATAAGAACAACCCAGGAAACTACAGACCAGTCAGTTTAACTTCTGTGCCAGGGAAGATAATGGAACAAGTAATTAAGGAATCCATGTGCAAACATCTGGAAGATAATAAGGTGATAGGTAACAGCCAGCATGATTTGTAAAGATTAAATCATGTCAAACCAATCTGATAGATTATGGATAAGGGAGAAGCCCAGGACATGGTATAGCCAGACTTTAGTAAGGCACTTGACATGGTCTCAGCATGACTTTCTTATCAATAAACTAAGGAAATACAACTTAGATGAGGCTACTATAGTGTGGGTGCATAACTGGCTGGATAACCATTCTCAGAGAGTAGTTATTAATGGTTCACAATAACGCTGGAAGAGCATAACAAAAGGGGTTCTGCAGGGGTCTGTTTTGGGACTGGTTCTGTTCAATTTCTTCATCAACAATTTAGATACTGGCATAGAGAGTACGCTTATTAAGTTTGCAGATGATACCAAGCAGGGAGGGGTTGCAACTGCTTTGGAGGATAGGGGCTCCAAATTCAAAATGATCTGGAAAACTGGAGAAATGGTCTGAGGTAAATAAGATGAAGTTTAATAAGGACAAATGCAAAGTACTCCACTTAGGAAGGAACAATCGGTTTCACACATACAGAATGGGAAGCGACTATCTAGGAAGGAGTACTGCAGAAAGGAATCTAGGGGTCATAGTGGACCACAAGCTAAATATGAGTCAACAGTGTGACTCTGTTACCAAAAAAGCAAACATGATTCTAGGATGCATTAACAAGAGTGTTGTGAGCACAGCACAAGAAGTCATTCTTCTGCTCTATTCTGCACAGATCAGGCGTCAATTGGAGTATTGGGTCCAGTTCTGGGCACCACATTTCAAGAAAGATATGGAGAAATTGGAGCAGGTCCAAAGAAAAGAAACTAAAATTATTAAAGATATAGAAAATTTGACCTATGAGGGAAGATTGAAAGAATTGGGCTTGTTTAGTTAAGAAAAGAGAAGACAGAGGGGGGGACATGATAGTAATTTTCAAGTATCTAAAAGGGTGTTAACAAGGAGGAGGGACAAAAAAATGTTCTCCTTGGCCTCTGATGACAGGACAAGAAGCAATGGGCTTAAATTGCAGCAAGGGAGGTTTAGGTTGGCCATTAGGAAAAACCTCCTAACTGTTGGAGTGGTTAAATTGCCCAGGGAGATTGTGGAATCTCCATCTCTGGAGATATAGAAGAGCAGGTTGGATAGACACCTATCAGGGATGATCTAGACAGTGCTTGGTCCAGCCGTGAGGGCAGGGGATTGGAGTTGATGACCTCTCGAAGACCCTTCCAGTTTTAGTGTTCTATGATCTCCGGGCTTCTATTAATTATTAATATAATATACAGTAATATCGGTGAATCAGAGCACTAAAACCTCAGCTCCAAGTATGTTGGCTGACACCCAGAGAGAACAGCCTGACTAGGCCAATGACCTGATTTAGGTTCAGACTCTTCTTGATACACAGGTGCCCTAAAATGAAGACTGGATCAGCTATCAGCACATTCTAGAATGTGGCATAGTCCAATAGTGCAAAGAGAAACTCCTTTCCTGAGGAGACCCATGTGATATCCTGAAGGAATGACCTGGGTTTGGCTGCAAAGATGGCGCTGAATGACCGAAGTTACTGAGATTTAAAGGGGCAAGAAACAGACAGTAACTCACTCATCAAGTCACTGAAGGTGTGAACACATGAGATACTAAATTTTGGTGATTCTCGCTTCTATGTGCACCCAGCATGAGGTTAGGAAGTAATCATCCCTCATGCTTATAAAAATGTGCCCAACATTGATTCTCAGTGCATGTAAAGTATTGGGAAAGGATGACAGGCTGCCCTTTGTCTTTCAAACATTTTATTTGCTAGGGTGCCTACAATGACCTATTAGACTAAAACAAGCCTTTACTACCTATCATGGCACTGGCAGAGCTTACTGCATCTTCTTTGGGTTGCTTTTGCTATATGATTTCTAGACAGCTGTAGAGAATTCACCTGCAACAGGCTGTTGTGTTTCACAGGCGTGTTGAAAACTGTGTGTGAGTTTTAGCACACAGTAAAACTGAAACCAACAAACAAGTTGAAGTGCAAAGGGCCAAAGAACCTAGATGTGAAATTAAAAAGTACTCACTCTGTGACCCTGGAACACAGAGACTGGGGCTGGGGAAAGGTGAAGTTATTTGGCAAGCAGGGAGGAAAATGAGTGGCAGTTGAAAGGCAGAATTTTGATAGAAGCTAATTATTAAACTGTAATTAGGACAAGGACGCAACAATCTGTTGATCTTCCCTCTTTTACCTCATGACACTGTATCCTGTCAGCAGATGCAGCTGAGGGGGAAAAAACAGCTGGCAGGTTATTCTGTATCTCAGGAAAATAGGCCGAAAAAGATACAGCATGTCCTCAAATCAGAGAGCAGATGTTTTAAGAGGGGGGGAGGGAGGGAATGTTTTAGTTAAATGAGCACAAAAAGGAGAGAAAACAGGGAAGTGACAAAACAGAGACAGGCGCCAAGATACGTCCCTGCCTCGGGGTGCCCTAAATTACATCCCATTTGCCATGGCTCTATGTGCACTGTAGCACCTAAGGAACAGCTAGAACCTAAGGACCCACAATTCCAGGGCAGCACCTTTGAAAACCAGGCTCTTGGTGCCAGGGCACACAGAATTGGTAGCACTTTTGAAAATACGGCTCTTAGAATGTTAGCAGCAAAACAAGTATGAAAATGTTGAGGGGGAAGGGTTATGCTGTTGAAAGGAGTACACTCCATTCCTACCTACACACTCTCAAAATTCACTTCAGGCAGAGGGCCATGGAAAGTATCCATCCACTGAAGGAGAGTTCAACTGGTTTGTGAATCTAAAGATGAACTGCTATATATTTATTAACTCCACTGTAGCAGACAGCCATGAATGAGTGACAAGAAAATGAACCCAAACAAAACTCTGGAATATTTTTGACTGCCAGATAATCAGGCCTAAGCTTGGAGAAATAGCATATCCTACACTTCATCCCTGGTTTCTAGCAAGTAATAATTGATTAGTAAGGATTCAGGGTTTAAGTACAACCTGTGCTGAAACCATTTCTAGAAACATTTACTCAGAAGGTCAAATGACCCTTCTTCCAGGCTGGCAACATTTTTGTCCAATGATTTGTTCGTGCCTCGTTATTTTTTATTTAAATGTGCCAAGAAGATCCTATACTAGCCTGCATGGATAGAAAAAAATCAACCACCACTCATTGATTTGTGCAAGCATACAGAACTGTTCAATATATTACAACAAACTACCTTTAGAAGGCAGGAAGCTAAGGTTGGATGAAGTAACTATCCCTTCCTGGGGCAGCAGGGAGAGCTTATATCTCACCAAGCCCATTCAAATTCTTGTGGAAAACCAAACACAAAAATCCAACTTTTTTTTTTAGTGAAAATATCTAAAAACAAGAAAAACAAAGTTATTCCTTGGTTACTATTGTCGCTGGGCTTTACATTAGATCAGAGATGCCCAACCTATAGCCTACAGCCCCACTAGAGCATTTCAGAAGACCTGAGGCCTCCTTCAACAAAACAGACAAATAGTCAATTCATTAGCATTCTGTTGTCATGTTTCCATCATTTTAGTTTAAGCAAGTGTATAAACAGACAATAAGAACAAAAGAACTGCCATACTGAATCAGATCAAAGGTTCATCTAGCTCAGTATCTTGTCTTCCAAGAGTGGCCAATGAATAGAACAGGTAATCATCATGTGAGCCATCCCTCTCACCCATTCCCAGCTTCTAATAAACAAAGGGCAGGGACACCATTCCTGCCCATCCTGGCTAATAGCTATTGATGGAACTATTCTCCATGAATTTATCTAGCTCGCCTTTGAACCCTGTTATAGTATTGGATTTTACAACATCCTCTGGCAAGGAGTTCCACAGGTTGACTGTGGGTTGTGTGAAGAAGGACTATGCATAAAAACAACCCATCTAAATACATTATAAATAAGCTGAACTTAATATATATTAATTAGTACAAGTGACTTTAAATATGTCAATGCTGTTTGGCCCACACACGGTTGTGCTTAGATTTATTAACTGAATCTGTTCAAGCTCCAGAGCTAATGGTGGTCACACAACTCCCATTAACATTAATGAGAATATCAGGGTAGACCACGGGTGGTGCATTATCCTAAATGTTAGTACATGAAGGTATAGAGTCAAGTGTAGATTCCTTTGCAAACAATCATAAGAAATCCAGTTACAATGAATATCGATACTAGGGATGTAAATAACCATTTAAATAGTTAACCAGTTAAACTACTAAAATTATAATGTTTAATTGGCAGGAAACCAGGACTGGGATCCTGCATGCCTTCCTGGGTGAAGTTGGCACAGCAGAGGCCAGCTAAGAGTGGCCGAGGCCAGAATCCTACCTGCCCACCCTGGCACAGCTGGAGTCCTTCCGGGACACCTGGGCTGTATTGGTGCGGCTGGGGCCCTGCCTGCAACCCCCATGCAGCCGGGGTCCCTCTGGTCCAACACAGGCGCAGTGCGGCCTACCACCCCCACATGGCTGGCCAGACTCAGGCAGGAGTGCTCTCGTGTGCTTCACTTGACTGTCCAACCAGTTACTGGGTAAGCATTCCAGTAAGCCTAATGCTTACTGGGTAACCAATACTTACTAGGTAACCAGTTAACCTTTTATACTTGTAATCATGTCAAATTCATGTTGCCTCTTATCTCTGTATTTACATCATCTAGCAATAAAACTGTAATCAGTGTATATAAACACCACGTGATGGCTGATTTCTGTTACTGTGACGTTTAGCTTCATGAGTAATCCCATCTGCCCTCATGAATGGAGATGATTGCTAGATCAGATTAGCTCTCACATATTATATTGCACACCTTCTAGATATTTTTTCCATTTCTATTGTCCTGTAGGACTGGCTTGATGTGCTTGGCACAACAGTTGCAGAGAATTTTACACACTTGGAATGTCTGAAGCATGGAAAATTCCAATGACTGTCATGGCTGTAATGAAGTGTTAATTCAATCACAGTGATGTGGTAGGTAGTTTAATTCCTTATCTCGTGTTGTCTCTAGTTACCTGATTGAACTGAGTGTCTTAAACTGGAGCCAGCAGACTGAAAATTCAGTATGCCAGCTGCTGATTCAATTAAGAGAGACATGTCCAGAAGAGAAACACTAAAGGCAAGAACATTTCTAATTATTATGGAATTGACTAGGGATTTTAGTGAATAGTCGACTAGTCTACTACCTGCTTTCCCTGCCCCCTTGCTGCCTCTCAAAGAGGCAGCGGGTCGGAGGGACAGAAGCTGGGGGGAGGAGGAAGGAGCTGGCTTAAAAGCCGGTTCCCCAGAGCACCATCTCTCACAGAGGCAGCGATATGCAGGGGAATAGGGGAGGCTGCTCCAGAAGCAGCCCCTTTTTGTAGTAGACAGATCTGTCCGCCGCAAACAGGGGCTGTTGCACTCAGTGCGAGCCGGGACTGAGCAGTCCCGGCTCACGCTGGTCCGGGACACTGCGCCTCTGCATTTTAAATGTAGTAAGAGCCTGGCCGCCAGGCTCTTACTACATTTAAAATACAGAGCTACAGTGTGGGTGTCTCCCAGAGCCAGTACAAGCTGAGACTGCTCAGTCCCGGCTCGAGCTGGCTCCTGGAGCTATCCCACTGCGGCTCTGCAGAGCCGTCCTTATCAACTAATTGTGTAGTCAATACAAATTGTATTGACTACACAATTAGCCAGATAACCACAATTTAACATCCTTAGAATTGACTTTGTACACCAAGGAAACACCATGGTACCTGTCATTAACACAAATCCAGCCAAAACTGGGAGACCAAAAAGACTGCAGGATAGCCTATGTGAAATGAATTGGCATAAGCTTTTCCCACATTACCTCACAGCTGCTGACCTGAACAGACCATCTTTTGTGATGAAGGGTAGCTCCTGTTCATTACTTGGCTTCTTGGTTGAGCTCGTCAAAAGCACAAGGGCTTTTGTCATATAAACACTTGTATGTTAAAAACTGGACCAAGATTTAAATGTCAATTGCTCTGAACAACAAACAGATAGTGATAACTTCTAGCCCTTATCAGATTCATAATGGTTAAGTCTGGTAGATGTTCTGCCACCAGATACACTCCTCCAGTGTTTGGGCTGGCAGAAGTTGTTGCACATGCTGGAGAAGTTCAGCACTAAATGTTTAGGCCTTTTAACCTAAATTATAGGATGGTTGCAATTCATATAGATATATAGGCTGAGAAAAATGTGTCTGGCCTTCTCCTTTGTCCTGTTCACTTAGGCTACGTCTACACTGCTGCTTTTTTGCGGCAGAAGATATGCAAATCACGCTCTCACTTGCATATCTTCTGCCAATCCTTTTTGTGGAACAGGTTTTACTGCTAAAAAGTCTCATGTAAACCGGGACATTTGTCGGAAAAAAACCCCTTTTGCGCAAGATCCCTTATTCCTCAAAAAATGAGGTTTACAGGATCTTGTGCAAAAGAGTTTTTTTCCAACAAATGGCCCCATCTACATGGAGCTTTTTAGCAGCAAAACCTCTTCCGGAAAAAAGATTGGCAGAAGATATGCAAATGAGAGCACGATTTGCATATCTTCTGCCGCAAAAAAAATGGCAGTGTAGACGCAACCTTAGAGAATATACCTCATTTAACTTTGTTCTGAGAGTCTCAGATGAGAACCACTGCTTTGTCAGGCAAAAGCAAATTTCCAAATATCTATAGTATCTGCAAACAGGTCAATTATATTTACAATATCATGAACAGAATAGCACGGGCCATTGGGTCTACTAGATGAGATGTTCATGGTAGTGGGACTCTTTCCAGTTTGTTGTTAATTTAGCACACTGGATGCCTTTCTTAAAGTGATTGAAATAGAAACAGTCAGCAGAACTTAATGGCATTTTTGAAAATGAAATGTCAGCCAATGAATCACTAGTTACTTAATAATATGTTGACCTTCTCTAGGAGCGTCTGTCCACAGGTTACAACACACTTTACGAACAATACGCTAAGTTGCACGACCTCCTATGAAGTAAAGAAATATTGTCTTCTCCATTTCACAATTGGGAAAATGTGCACCAAGAGTGAAATCCTAGCCCCAGTGAAGTCAACAGTGGGCAGGAATTGACTCTGAGAGTCTTAGATGGCTTTCCCAGGGTCTCGACACTGAGAGTCTATGACACAACTAGCCTAAGCTAGGATAAGAACCCAAATGTCCTGACTTCTAGTTCTATGCTGTAATCACAAGGCCAGCAATGACCCCATCGTGATAGCAGCTTGTTCCTTTTATCTTGACCAACAGAAGGTTGAAAATACAAATATACCTAACGCAAAACATGCATTCACGAGCACATCCTTGACCTCCGACACAAGGTAAGCTGAGCCTTCCATGGCCGAGAGCCAGCATAGTGAAAAGGTTTTGATCAGTTTTCCCCAATCTTCTGAAATTGGTACATACCCAATGGCTTGATATGAAAAGGGATCAGAAAAAATAATGTTTTGAAAGTACCATTATACACCACATCAGACCTTGCAGTACCGCATGAAAGCATTCAGTATGGATATATACATGTGGCACCTGGTGAAAATGTTAAATGAATATACAGTAGATATGTCATATGTACATATGAATGTTCCCTTCATAGTAATTTAAGAAGAGGCTAGTTTTTAGGTGTAGGAAAAGAATACCTTCCAAAAGAACAAACCTGACTCAGGAATAAATGGCTCATACTGACAGTGGTCATCATCCAGTAGATTGTGATCTACAGGTAGATCTTGGAGCCTCTGACAGGGGATCTTGACTAGCTTGGCCGGGAAGCTATTGAGTGCTTGCACTTCAGTTGCCCCTCCACCCACTATCATGCTGCCTTCAGGGTGCCCCTTACTCTGCCTTCCTAATGCATGAGCCAGCTCCACCTCTGGGGCAATTGGTGTTGGCTGCCAGGCTGCTGCCTGAGTCTACCACCCTATGCTCCAGAGGCTGATGCCCTATCCCTGAGTTCACTGGGGATCCCACTCCACCTCCCTACTTTCAGCAGGTCTCTTACCCTGCTTCCAGACGCGAGAGCCAGTTCCATCCCTGGGGCAGCCTGTGTTGGCTGTCTGGCTGCTCCCATGGGAGGTGCAGGGGGGTGCGCTCCCCAGGCAAATGCTCTATCCCCTAATCCACCACAGAACCCACCCCACTTCCCTACCTTCAGGGCATCCCTTATCCTGCTTTCCTAATGCGGGAGCCAGCTCCATCCCTGGGGCAGCCTGTGTTGGCTGTCCAGCCACTCCAAGGGTGGGCGGAGGTGGGGGGGAGGGACTCGAGCCCCCAACCCTGCCCTATCCCCATGGCCACTCCAGAACCCACCCCACCTCCGTACCTTCAGGGTATCCCCTCCCACACTCCGAACCCCTTGGCCCAAGACCAGACCCTGCACCCCAACCCCCTACCCCAGCCTGGTGAAAGTGAATGAGATTCAGGGAGGAAGGGGGATGGAGTGAGCAGGGTGAGGCCTCAGAAAATGGGTGGAGCAGACGTGGGGCCTCAGAGAAGGGGGGAAAGGAAGCTGGTATTTGGGTTTAAGGTAGACTTTACATTGCACTTAAATTGAAAAAGTGATCATGTGGTTAAAAAGGTTCGATACCTTGGATACCACTGCACTAGAGCGTGTGTTTGTTTAGCCCCCTTTCTCTTTATGTTATACTGCCAGAGCCACTGAAAATTTTCCAACCATTTTACTGGGCAATTTGCATTTAAATCAGTTTTCCTGTCATTATGTAAACGTCTTAGTACAGCTGAAGTTTCCATTTCTCTCTTGAGAGCTCCAAGGTGGCTCAGTCTCAAAACTCCATATCTCGTGATACCATCCAATTGAATTAAAATAAAAGCCATGTGACTCTTCTCATGAAACCTTAAATCTCACAGCTTTTGTTTATAGAAGAGCCAAAGAAGATTGTGTTCAGAGCTAGAATGGGGAGCACCCTGAACCCTGAGTCTAGACTTAAATTTAGATTTGATGGTACCAAATCTTTTGGGAATGACTAACCAGACATATGGTACTTCTACCATTTGTGTAAGAGTTAGGTGGTTGAATCAAAATTCTACCCAGGAAAGGGGTCACTCCGAGACTGGGAATTGTATGGGTAATTCTGAATACAGAGGCTGAAATCTCCTGTCCGCCCATAAATGCCAGTGTGCAGGGAAGGGAGTTCAGATTTAAAGTTGTATTTCTAGTTTTGTTGCAAACTCAGAACTATACTCAGATTCACATGGTTGGTTTCATGCTGAAATTACGTAAATTTTAGCTTTGAATGGCAGCCGCGTGGGACAGGGCAGCAGTAACAGGACCCTGGAGATTACAGATGGAAGATGGGCAGAGATGCAGAATTAGAGGGCTTGATTCATGCTGCACAGGCAAAATAGGATGCCTCCCAAATTCTGAGCATGGCTGGGTACCTGCCCAGCCCCCAGCTCAAGTAGAACCAGCCATTTGGGCTTCTCTAATCGATAGCAGTTTCTTCAACTGCCTATTGACTACTCCAGAAATCTTGAATAGCCTGAGCACAGAGAGGCCAAGCTGTAGCCTCTTCCAATTATGGCATAGTCACACTGGAAGCATACCGCTCTGTGTGGAAACCTCTGAGAGGGCAGAGTATGGAGGGGGATACAGCACAATATCATTATGTCACTCTTACAATTCCCGGGGAATCCCAGACTATCAGGGGAATTTCCAGCTGGGGGGAAGGGCTACTTTACACAGGACCAGCATAAAGAAGCTAGAATGCAGCCCAGAATCAAGAGCAGGGTTCATCTGGAAGACAGAGTTAGAAAGATGTTTGGACAAGTGTATGTACCTTAACTTTGAATTGTCCTAGTTTTTATTATTTCATTTTTCTAAAAGTACACAATAATACTATCTGTGCATTTATAGATTGCTAAATAGTCTTAACTGCAACTCAACTAAAAGCTTTTGTTCTGGAAAACTTTGCCTTACATTTAATAGTCACATGAATATAACACTTTCCATTAGT